CTCAGCTACCCCTCATTTTTGGCTGTTAAAGTAATTGTGGAACACCCTGTATGTATTTTATAGGAGTCCCCTAACGTGTCTGTCTACGGTCAGCCTTTTTTACTGTCTACAATCACTAGACTGTTGATTTTTAAACGAAATAAATATTCCCTTACTCAATTATAAAATCTGGAGCAAAATGTGAAATTTTCTTTCTTGGTAAGTTCGATAAATTCAAAAGAGTATAACAATAACTTTCTGTTTCTCCTACTTGATTTTGTGCATGCATATTTATTCCAAACCGATATGCATCGGTTATCTCGGTTATCTCGACTGCAAAACGTCTTTCCACATCAAAAAGATACGGTTGTAAATTTTAAAACTTATTTTATACTCTATAAATTAATTAGATATGTATTACTCCACATAAACATTATAACGTAATTTTACTGAAAAAAATGGTTTCTTATCGTTATTGTAAAATCTGATAGTTATTTTGTATTTGTCGATCTATAACGACGACATAAGTACTAACTAATAAATTATCAATAATTATAATAAAGTATCAAATAGAATTCTACACTTAAAATTAATCGTGTAATTATTTTCACTTGCTTCCTTTTTCCATAGGAAAATAAAATATAAATAAAAACAGATTATGTCAATGTCATGAGTAATTAAATCCATGCAAAATGGCATGTAATGTTTGATTCACGTCAAATGTGCCTACAAAGACATTTATTTATTGATGCCGGAAGGGTTACTTGCTAATTTATTTTTTACTCGCCTAAGAAAAAACTTGTCTGGAGGCTTCATTTGCATCGAGTGTATTATGACTTGAAAGGTTGAATTGTTAACGTTTTTAACAGATCTAGTCGTTAAAACTGATTACCTCTTGAACTGCAAGTGGCGTGACTTAATTCACCAATGAAAAATATTAATAATTCACGTCAAGTAAGAGTAATCATGTAAATACGTACGTCATTACAAAACAATAGATAACTCGTAAAAGTAAAGCCGGCGAAATGAATAATAATACTGCACACGAAGATAAAGCAAGTGAATATTATCATTACAAATTTTTCAAGATTGGGATTTTTTTTTAGAGTAATTATATATAATTATCCTATAAGTTTATTATATGTAGATATCCTATCCTATATTGTAGAATTATTAATATAATATGTTGAAAAATTACAAAATTGTGAATCTATCTACAAAAAATCACTTTTTTCAAATACTTTTCAAATACTAATCGATATCTCGATCAATATTGATTCGATAAAAAGTAAATTATTGTTTAAAATCCTATTCAGAATATCATAATTCAGTTTTACATTTTGCGTGAGTAAACTGTGAACCATGACAGCAAGTGCGGTTATTTTAGAAAATTTTATGTTCCCATTCTTCTTCGGCCTAATTAAGAGTACAAGTAAAATCTGTAAATGTAAAAATCCTATTTTACACATCTCCGTACAAGGCATGTGGGACACATAAAGTAGCTCATTCCCAAATATAGAATTTTACGAAGTAAGAAGTAGTCCTTGAATTGCTCGAAACATTCAATAGTTTTAAATAAACCGAGCAGTTCTATTTTTAAAAAGGTGCGATACACTATAAAAATGAACACATGAGTGTACATTTTTAAAAAAAAATCGATTTTCGGGGAGATCTAAATTTTTAACTTCGACGAAGCTTCATGCACTAATAATATAATGGTAATAAACAATTCTAACTTATGATATACACATATTCTAGAACATATTCTAACTTCATGTTTCTGAAAAGACATCCAGTATGTGCCAAGTCTTGCGGATGTCTTCCATTTCATTTCACAACTTCAACATGCTGAAGTTAATCTAATTACATTCTTCATGCGAAAAGTGCGTATTTTATCGAATGAATGACGTTGGTGAAAGCTAGAAAACACATTCTGTTTTTAATACACAAACAAAATTGTTTTGCAAAATACGTCACGCCGATAACGGTACTGAAGTATACCACAACGCCTACTATTACAATTTTTTATTGCGACTTTATCGTGCTTTGAAAAACCAATTAAACCAGTACATTGAACATACATTAAACTCGCATGAAATATATATTGCGTAAAGGAGAACATTTCTAAAAGATATTTGATTTCACATTCTATCTTGTAGATAGACTGCGGATTTTATGCAATTATAGGAAAAATGACTAACTGAAATATAAAATTGTGGAGAAGAAGAATTTAATAATACTGTTACAATATTTTCAATTTATTAAAATTATTGAAACTGTTAAAACGATTACTTACGGAATAAAAAACAATAAACTTATTTTTATCTAATTTCTGTTCCTTACAAATGTCTTGACAAATTTTTATTTTGTATAAAGATCTGCAGTCTATTTCTAGTGCAATGCTTTATAAATCAACGATTGCGCAAGTCTCACACAAAATATGTTGTATAACTATTACTGAACGTTAATTATTAATTTGATTATGGAGTATTAATACGATATTTTGTTAACACAGTTGATTCACTTAAAAATAACGTGTATTGACCAAAAACTACGCATCCCTCGGTAGAAGAGGCGTCTTTGTGTGATAATAATGATCACACGGTGTTGTGAAACTGAGGAAACCGAAACAGACAAATTATGATTAGATACGATACAATTGGAGAACCGAAATAAAAGACAGCGTCGCGACGGATGAACTCCGCACGCGAGTGCACTTTTGTAAAATTGGTCTGAAAGAGATACAAGAATACGATAGAACAATGCCAAACGTGATACACTTGATAGCAGCTGCAAAGTCTATACAAATAAATAAATCAGAAATAAAAAGCTTTAACAAAAGTATTGAAACAATAAGTGAGATGAAGAACTCTTAAATTTCGGAACCAAATTGTAATTTGAAATCAAGAAATAAAAATGGACAGCATTTATTGAGTGTTTTGCTGTACGTGACATTATGTAAGTAACGAATTTCAGAAATAACAAATTATGAAACAGAACACTTATGAAAACTAAAAATAAATATCAAGCTAAAAATTATGTTGCAATTGTTTATACCTTTCTTAAAACTTTCCGTATTAAAACGAGATGTTCATTGCATAAATCCTATTATAAGAAATTATGTCGATACGAGGAAATTTGTTAATATTATTTAATAAACTGAAAATATATATTTAAAAGTATACAACCCCTGGCAAAAAGTTTTCGATCATATACACTGATATACAATTTACAAAGAATATTCGCATTTTGGAGTTCTAAAATGTTCTTGTATGTGCAGGTAAGACGAATGGGGAATGTAGGTGGGATCTAAATAAACTACATAAATACATTACACAATCTTTCATTTATTATAAAAAAGAAACCACAGAGAAAACAAAATATTACCAATCATTAAATTATTAATATTTTGCTAAATTATCACGTGCTCATATGATACTTTTAATACATTGGGGCATTGACATTGCTAAGTTTTCACAATCCCTAGATGAAATTTCTTTCCACGACAATTTTATCACATGTTGAAGTTCCTCTTTAATGTTTGGTATTTTCTTGTGAATCAATTTTTTAAATTGTGCCCATATGCTCTCAATTGGGTTTAAATCGGAGCTGTTCACAGGCCACTTCAATGTTTTAATATGATTTTACTCTAAATAATCTTTTACTAATTTGCTGTGGTGACAGCTAATGTTGTCATCTTGGAAAATGAAATCTGAAGAATATCCGAACCACTCTTCTATGTTTAGAATTAAGAAATCTTCTAAAATATTAATATATGTTTCCCCTTTCTGTCATACATACAAAATTTTCCTTCATCATACCCTGCTCTAAAACAAACACGAGATTCATACTAAATATTACTTTGCATCAGTCCTCCATAGTCCAATTTGCATATTCCTTACACCACTTTAATCTTTTCTTCTTGTGTTTCTTTGTGAATAAAGGTATTGTTTTCGCCTTTCAAAATAAGAAACCCATTTCATTTAATCGATTCCTGAGATCCACTGTTCATTTACCTGTTTTGATCTTGCTTGCCTCATATTTTTAACAATTGCACGCTATTTTCTATTGTTTTTTCTAGTTGTTGCAAGAGAACGACCACTTTTCTTATGGTTTTTTTTATATCACTTATCGTACTCTGACTACATCCTATAATTCCTGCAACTTTTCTTTGACTATTACCTTGCTTGAGAAGTTCGATTACTTTCAACTTTAAATCGTTTTAAATACAACTTATAAGATGTGGCATATTGCATACATCTGTCTCACTTATCCATCGACTGAAATGTTTTGTATTTCAGATGCCTCAGTGGTAAAAGTGTTTGTTTACATTTTCACAGGCACAAGTTGTGTTTACGCAAGTTGTGTTCCCTCCACTTGAGACATTCACAAAACTAGTTATTTGAACCATGATCAGAAATTTTTTTCCAACATTTGTACTGATCGGGAACTTTTTTTCAACATTTACACTGACTGGAAACTTTTTTCCAACATTTGTACTGATCGGAAACATTTTATTGTACAACATTTTGTTTCCTCTGTGGTTTCTTTTTGATAATAAATGAAAAATTGCGTTATTGTGTATTTATTTACTTAATTTAAATTCCCCTTACATTCTCCATTTGTCTTACCTGCATAGAAGAACATTTTATAACTCTAAAATGCGAATATTCTTTGTAAATAAGTGTATGTATATAAGCAGAAACTTTTTGCCAGTACATAGTTGTACTTTTGCTCTATAAATCACCCCTTGGATAAATATATTTGAGGAGCATGTATGCCTGAAAATTGTGATTAAAAGATATATTTTTAATAGTTTAATATGTATACAAAATTAAAAATGGACTTTTGAACAAGTCAACAAATAGTCACATAATTGCTTACTAAAAGTACTTTTAAAAGCTGACAATGCTATGAAAGCCACCTTAGATACACACTTTTCTTTATTATCAGATGTAGTTCACTAGCTGACCGTTTCATTTAGGTAGAGTCCGCTATCGTACGACAGTATTTTCTACAGAGTCGGTAATTTAGACTCCGAGACAGAAAAAAAGCATTGTACTTTATTATCCGGCTGGAATGAGATCCTGAAAAGGGCCATTATTATTAAATTCGATTCGGGATATTAATCACCAAACTGTGATATATTTATAATATCTTTTAATTATATGTATAAGTAACGTTTTATACTTTATGTACTTTTTACGTTTTATACTTTTCGTTACGAAATACATCACTGTTTAGGATTTCAAGGCGATTTATGGTGCGTACGTGACTTCTCG